ATCTTTTATATTCTCTGCTTCAAAGATAAGAGAAACTGTACCCACTTATCTTAAATATATGCCTTACAATAATTTCAAAAGAGAATGGAAACATCAACTTTTACTCAACCAAACCTGATCATTTTACTTTGCTGCTGTTCTACTCTTAAGGAAAAATGTAAACTTCAAAAAACTTCAACTTTTGTTCAACAAATCCTAATCAGTTTATTTACTTTACTGCTGATATACTTTTATTATAGGCTGCTATCTATTTATATGACCATTTACGGTGTCCAACTAGAAAGGCTTCGCTACTTTGGATACCGTTCACCTTTCAAACTTATCTTTATAGCCAAATATTACCATTATTCTTCCCTTTTTCTCTTACTTTTCAATGTATGTTAACTTCTATTAATAGTGTGAAATAAATAAAGTTCAAAGTTCAAGTTCAAGTTCACTTTCAATTTCTTGTTTTAGTTGAGGAGTGGCCAATTGATGATCTAGCAGATTGTGAGCGCCTAGCAAAAAAGTCCACCACCGATGGTAGGAAAGGCTGCAAACAGCCCCCACTACTGAAAATACCTTTTCAGTTTTTTTGTGTCGATACACCCCATATTTTTCTACGCAGTATGGAACGACTGTTTAATCAGGTAAATGAGTTGCTAAGCATGTGTTTTTGCTAAGCATGTGTTTTGCGGTTTTGGATGTTTTTTTTTTAATCGTGATGATAACGGGAAGCCGCCATCCACACGATTTAGAGGAGTGGGGGCGGAGTTGATGTACCAGGTCTTCAAACAAAGGCTTTGGTGGTAACGTTGATTAGCGGTGATGATAATTACGTCTGGCTTTAAATTATTTCCATGATTTATGCCCCACTACAGTATCTATTTAGTTTTTGTTTTTTTAGTTTTGAGTTACTTACAATCTACATTATTGCAGTAGAGCCTATGTATACCTATAGATATATCGCTTCGAGTCTTTACCTCCTTTTTAAAGTATTGAATATCAATACATATTTTACATTTACAAATAAGATCTTCTGTGTCTCAAAGCATCATTCAAATGCTGACAGTCCACTAGCCACTATCATGCTGCATCTGTCACTCTTGTTATTTTTTCCTTCGTTGCTGAAGTTGATGTCTACTATGCAAAACAGCGCTCTCTATCGATATCCAACAAGGCGTGCTTCGTTTGGTAAATTCATGTGCGATCCCTTCCATTACTTATAGGAAGAGAAACTAGCATCTTCCAAGGTGGAAGATAAGTTGTCCTGCACTTTTCTTTGCGGTTGGTGATCCAAAGTGTTATTCGTTTAACATGGCCGCTTATCCTGACTCTAATGGTCTCTATCTGTGCGAGTTGTTTGCCACTGACAACTACAGAGTGACCGAGAAGCTTCATGGAAGTAACACTTTCCATCACTTTAGCCCAAGGGTAAGTAAGGTGGAATCAATGTGCTTTAATATTACGGACTTACCGCATGAGGTACATGCATGAGTTCTCTTCTGCCAGAAGGCAAGTTACTTGATTAAGATCCAACGACATAACTCAGTTCAATCATTACTTATAGTTTATTTCTTTCATTTTTCCTTTTTCTTCGATAGGTCACCATGTGATAGGGCTCCGTGCAAGAACGGTGCTGTCTGTGTTCCTCAGTACCAATGGAACTCCTACCACTGTGAGTGTAAGCCTGGATTCCATGGCATCAACTGTTACCCAGAAGGTACATGGACAGTGGAACGTTTTCTTATGACAAATAGCATTTTATAGCTTAGAAAATTCAGTCTTAGGCAAGAGCTGCATTTGATGAATTAGCAGTACGCTGTTAGGCTTGTGTTGAGGGTTACCAGTCGTTTCGTACCCAGAAAAGACCATTTGCACCAAGCCAGTTTTGTCGTTTAGTCGGCTTCTTTGTCCCTCATTTTTTGGCGTAAAACCCTCTAGGAAATCAAACTGTATAGTTCTTGAATGGCTTCTTGCGTCATCGCTTCTCTTTTCTGGTAATAAAAACAGGGATAACCATTCGTGAAAATGTCGTTTTTCTGTGTCTGCTTGTTTTTCAGGAAGAAACTGCAGTGACATCAAACACTCCTACCCTAAGGCCCAAAATGGTGATTGCGTCCTAGAACCTGATGGAGATGGCGGAGTGAAACCTTTTAAAATCTACTGTGGCATGAATGACAAGAACACTGGTTGATGGGTATGTTGGCCGAGGCGCCTATTCTCGCAATATCATTAATACAGAGGCTGATATGGCTCAGCTAGCAAGGCCAACAGCTTTATTAGCTCACTGTGAGCAGTTTATAAAGTACGATTGTCATCACTCAGTGCTCCTCTACAATAGTGATCCCTTGGGTGTCACGTGATGGAGAAAAGATGAAGTATTGGGGATGAGTTGACTCCGTTGATTACAAATGCGCATGTGGCCTGAACAATTCATGTGCTAACCCTAACTACGGATCCAACTGAGACAAAAATGACGAAACTTGGCGAGAGACAGCCGCTTCCTTACAGAAAAGTCAAAGCTTCCCGTAAAGCAACTGAGGTTTGGGGTTAACCGATCTTCCTCCTTTGAGTTTGGAAACCACATCCTTGAAAAGCTCAAGTTTTTTGGACTCGTTTAAAAACACTGTAAAGTGCACTGTAACTGTGTATACTCGCTATGTTTGTGGACTCGCCTGATTTATCGCTGGAAAACGTGATTTACCGGCAATAAACCGAGGAACACAATTCAAGAAGTTGCATAATATCCGAAAAACAAAATTAATTAAGTTTAAATCTCGCACGCGTGATTATATTCGGAAATATTGTGAATCACATTCTCCCAAATACTTATACCATTTAGGCTATTCTAATTGTTTTTAGAGAGACACAAAAGAAAAGCTAAGAATTTTTTAATGAATTCCTTTTTTTTTTTGTTTAAATTAAACAAGACATTCTACAGTTGGGACTAGATGTTGATAAAGCAGCTTTCTTGGAAACCTTGAACTCTCACAGTTATCTGAATGATCGCAGTATGCTTCATGCGTTTGTATCGCAAGAAACTTACCATTCAATCCGTTTTTACTTAGAGATATATAGGATATTACATGGCTGCGAGTAGATACAAATGTTGTCTCCAAACGTCTCTCACCAGTGAGTGAGGAGAACGAGTGAGAGATGAATAAAGCATGAGGAGACATAAAAAATTTCGATGTTTCCTATCGATGTTTCTTCGATGTTTCTTTGATGTTTCCATTATTCGCCGCAGTGTAAACTTAAAATAAAAGTTAACAACTCCCCTTCTTCCCTTATCCAATATTTTACAATTTTGTCCAAGTCTTGAGCGTGTACTGTCAGGACGTGTCTATTCACACTCCCTACTCCTGATAATTTCTCTTTAACTTCTAATGCCGGACTCGGTAAAATCCCTCAAAAAGAGCAAGGGAGAGCTGAAGAGGCAGCTCGAGCACGCTAAAAAAGAGTTGAAGAACCTGGAGCAGCGAGTTACGAACCAAGAATGTATGGTAAGAAATGTCAAAAGTGAAGAAGGCGCTGCGGCCATCTTGAATAGATCTAGAGAAGCTGAGGCGAGCCTTGAGTTCGTTAATCAAGAGTTTGATGATACTAAGCTCCAGCTGGAAGGAATTCGGGAATCCCTCGCCAACATCAAACAACGGCTTACCAACTTCGAGGAACGATTGCTAACCCTTGAATTTACATTCAATGACATTCAGAATCATAGCTATTCGTTCAAATTCAAAGTATTGGGTGTCCCAGAGCTGTCTGACTCGGAGAGTGCAGCCGATACTAGTTTATTGTTGTACGATTATTTAATGCAATGGGAACAATACATCAACATTGCACACCGCGTCCCTCCTCATGATTTATCGAGAGGAGGTCCGAGACCAATTATTTGTAATTTTACACGACGGTTAGTAAGAAATGAGGTTATGATCTTGAGCAAGGAGGCCAACAAGATCAGCGCGGCTGTTATCGGTTTTGATGAAGATCGGATTATGTCAAACCCCAGGGTGGTTGAGCATCTAACTCCCAGATTACAGAAACTTTTTGTGGACGTAAAAGCTTTCAAAAATCAATATCAATACGCGTTCTGCTGGGTAAAAAATGGATCCATACTTCTACGCAAGACGGCTGATTCGCACCCTGTTAGAGTCAAGAGTCAGCGGATGACCGCTGACCAAGAGTCAAGATCATCTTACCAACTTAACGCCACAAGAACAGATCAGGCGGAACTCTTCTTCTTCTGAGATAAGTCATGCTTAATAACTCTGTTTTATTTACTTTAATATTTTTCTCTACGTCATTGTTAAATCAAGTTAAAGAGCATGAAAGCTTGCTCCGTGAATTTGGTCAAAACATAACTCTCTACCATGGGCAATTCAATAATGTTATCCAGTTGAACGATCTCCCAACTAAAAAGTATTTGCAGCGCTTGCCTAGTTTTCATGACATTGACCTTTTTAGCTTGAACCTTGATGAAACGTCTGACTTCTCGCCTTTCCGCTCCATTCGTTTCAAATATTATTCACCGCATAGTTTTTATCAACTTAAAGATGAATTCGGCCGTCAATGTAATTCTAGACAGTATACTTATATTTTTGTATTCACTTTTGTAATTGACATCTAGCTGTACCTTTGTAATTGTTATTTATTTTTTGTCATTAGAATAATGTTATTTTTAATATGCAATTGACACGTTTTTCATACTTCCCGCCTCGATATTAGCTTCGCTATATTGCAGGTAGTCTTAATCTAGAAGTTAAATTGTCATTATAAATAAAAGATGTTGTTGTTGTGGTTGAAGATGAGATACCCAAAATTGTTTGGAGTAAGAAGTAACAAAAAAATGTTGAACACAGCAAGCTATGATCAGATGGTATGAAGATAAAAACACAAGCCTTTAATTATTTATAACGCTGAGAGCGGGAAAGATGGGTAGGAGTGCCTCGAGCTACTCCAGCTTCTTTTGTTTTCTTGTCCCCATTCGTGTCAGTTGAGACAAAACGTGTTTTGCTTGCATAATTATCAGAAATTTTGTAAGATGGTTTAGGACGACTGAGACGTTTTTTAATTGTGACAATGGATGGGATCGATGGTGTTTTGAATATTGTTTTAAACAATATTTCTTTCAGTTTTACACAAAGCCATCTACAGGGGTCTCATTGATTTTATAATTGGCCCAGTTCATTCTTCACAAGAAAGAACTATTCAGACACAGAATGCCAAATATCACATCGACTCTGACATTCATAATTGCATGCTTTATTTAGAATCAAAATTAAAAAATGCTCGAGATTTTTGGAAATCATGGCGACTAAAACGCCTAGTCTTCACGGCGCAAGAAAAACTGGAATACATTAAGTTGCATATATCAACAAAGTTGAAATGGTAAATTAGCCACCGTAATGATTACAAAAGCTGACGTTTCGAACGTTAGCCCTTCGTCGGAGCGAATAGAGGAATTGTGCTCACACAACCCACAATTCCTCTATTCGCTCCGACGAAGGG